AGCCACTGGTGGTTCGTAAAGGCCTATGACACCGAGATTCAGCCTGAATCCCAAATTTCATTATTCTGGTCTCGTTCCATATAATACGATCTTCATTTATGCTATCTCACCTACTTGTAAAGAAGATTTAAATGGATTTACAACACCAAACAGATATTTAGAGTATTCAAAACCTAAGAACACAAGTGATAAGATTTATGAACATAGAACGAAAGAGAGATGTGCCCGGACCTTTAAGTCAGGTGGCTTCTGCAATTGTGTCCTAAGTTTAGCTGTGAGTTTTCTGGTCAGGGCAAAACAGGGACCAGGTTGAGTTATTGACACATCTGGAATGAAATCACTTCTACAGTACTCCATTTGCAAAGAGCTTCAAGGATGTTGAACAACATTATAGGATCTGTATTTTATTTTATTTTATTTTATTTTATTTTATTTTATTTTATTTTATTTTATTTTTAAATCCTCTTTTGGTAAAGGTAGAGAAATACTTTTCTAATGTAAGGGCCTCTGTGCACTTTAACAGGAGGGTAAGCCCTTACAGTTGTTTTTGGAGGAGCTGAGATGGTGCTCTAAGTATTTTTTTATTTTTTTCTTACCTTGATGAGTTAACATCATTTAGGAAGGGAGGGAGTCAGAAATATCGATGAGAGAGAAACATCGACCAGCTGCCTCTGCACACCCCCCCCCCCCCCACCGGGGATGTGCCCGCAACCAACGTACATGCCCCTGACTGGAATCGAACCTGGGACCTTCCAGTCCGCAGACCGACGCTCTGCCACTGAGCCAAACCGGTTTCGGCCAGTCCCACCTGATCTTAACACGAGGATTGGTAGGCTAACCCTTGACCAAACTGATGATTATGAAGAATAGGGAGTGTAGTCGGGATTGGAGTCCACCAGTCAGGATGGGAACTAACGGGTTGGAGATCGGTCTCTCTGAGGCCCTTGCAGCCTGTGTTCTGATTTGTATAGTTTATAAGGGATGAGGTTGCCGGACTCCAGCTCAGTTCAGAGCAATTGAGCTGATTGTCTTATGACGGGAGGCCCCCGGGAAAGCGGCGGGATCAGTGATGCTCCAGTACCTTTTGTAGAATGTGATGAGTCTCCTTGATTCTGGGTTTCTCTTTCGCTTTGGGCTTGGAGCATCTGCTTGTGGCTTTGTGGTAAAGCAGAAAGGGAGTCTGGTGTCAAGTTCAGGCTCAAGCCGTTAGCTGTGTGAACTTGAGTCAGTCACAGCTTCTGTGAGTCAGTTTCCTCATCTGTCATTGTTACATGGTGGTGGTGAGGTCATTATTAAAAACCTCAAAGAGGAGATTGGGTGTGAAAGGGCTTTGTAGAAGGTAAGATATACATATTTTTTATTTTTAAAAAAATATTTTTATTGATTTTGGAGAGGAAAGGAGAGGGAGATAAAAACATCAATGATGAGAGCGGATTTCTAATTGGCTGTCTCCTGCCTGCTCCCTACTTGGGTTGGAGTCAGCAATCAGGGCACATGCCCTGATCTGGAATCGAACTGTAGCCTCCTGTTCATAGGTCAATGCTCAACCCTGAGCCACACTGGCTGAGTGAAGGCAAATCTGTAATTTGTTTAAGTCATTAAAAACAAAACAAATAAAAAAACAACAGCTCATAAAAGAATGAATTTAATCGGTTTATGTGTAATTTCAGCCAAGTCCCATCTGATGATGTTGTCTTGTAAGATTTCCTTTAGCTTCCCATCGATTTGTTAAAAAAAAAAAAAAAAAAAAAAAAAAGTAGATGGAAAGAGATGGCCCGGCCTTGATTACTCAGGCTCAGGGCTCTGGAGACCGGTTCTAGCTTGTCCTGGACCTGTGGGATGTTCTTAGCAGAAATGCCTCTCCCACAGGACAGTTTGAATCAAATGCTGGAAATTCCAGAGCTCTCAGCCGCTGAGGCTCTCAAGAGAAATACTTGAAAATCCGTAAAATCAAGGGAAACTTTTTCCCCCTCATCTTTTCAAATCTTCCACTCCCATCGTTTAGTTCTGTGAGTGGTCACATTCCAGGGTAGCCATGCCTTTTTAAAATAGTCACATTTTTAAAGGACAAGATTAAGGAGCACGAATGCATATTTAACGACACTAGAAATTCTAGGTTCCACCATTCATTGGACAACTGTTTATTGAGTGCCTACTATGTGCTAGCATGGTGCTGGGCACCGGGGATACCACAGCGCCCAAGGCAGACAAAATCTGCCCTCACACACCTTCCTGTTTCGTAGGTCCTCAGACATTAAATAAATGAGCCCACAAAACAAATCGACAAACCTAGTGTGGCAAGTGCCTCGATGAAGAAGGGTGATGGGGGAGATGACTTAGATTGGCGGCGAGGGACGGCTTCTGCGAAAGGGCTCTTGAAGCTGAGGCGGGAAGGGTGAGACGTCCATTAGGCAGCGGCCATAGCAGGTGCTACGGTCCCGCTGTGGGGAGGAAACAAGGAACCGCAGTGGCCGGAGTGCAGTGGGCGAACGGCGTGAAGTTGTTAGGAGGGAGGCATGGTCGCTAGGCACCCACCCGGCTGATGATTTTGGATTTGATCTTTAGCAGCATTCGATTTGGTCATGGAAACGAGTTTGATCAGGCTCCTTCCTCGGGAGGTAGAGTTTGCCAATCTAGAAGCGTTGCTAATCCCACACGAAGTGATGCCTAGGGCCATTTTTTAAAGGCGGGGGTGGGGGGGGAGTGTACTGTTCTTCAGAAGACACGGACGGAGCTATACATGAAGTGACGTCAGATCTGTCTCCTCCGGAGAGGAATCCGTTCCACCGCCTGTGCTGCTGACTCAGAGGCCGGTTCCACCGTGCTGGCTGGAGGGAAGCAGCCGCCCGGTCTGTGTGTGCGTGCCTCTTCCCAGTGGCTGGGAGAAAAGGTCTGACCTTGGCTCGCTGGTCGATGGACGATGGGAAAGCCAGAAAGGAAGTTTAGGAGGTCAGGATCTCTGCCCTGGTTTCCACGTCCTGCTGCATTCCAGGGGAGTTAAAGCCAGAGCATGTCTGAGCCAGAAGGGACCTCAAGGATCAACTCATCCACCCTTCGTTTTACGGGTTTGGGTGCTCATGGGGAGACGGGCCATGACAGCACCCCAGCCCCCTCAGAGGTGCCGGCCTTGGCACTGAGGTGACATTGGGAACGGGCTGCTGAAACCATGTCAGATGCGGGGCTTAGGGCCTTGCTGTGGTGCCCGGAAGGGCCTCTCACCCCTGGTTCAGCCGCACAGAGCACACGCGTCACTAGGTCTTTGGCAGTTGGCTCCCCGGTGTCCAGGGCTCTCTCCGAGGGGAAGCCTGTGGTCACTGGGAGTCGGGGTGTGTTGCCATCACTCTACTGCTGGGGAACTAGGAATTCTCATTGATAAAATTATTTTTTTAAATATTTTTATTTATTAAATAGAGAGAGGATGGGAGAGGGGGAACAGAACATCCATCAGCTGCCTCCTGCACACTCCCTACTGAGAATCAAGCCCCAAACCCAGGCTTGTGCCCTTGACGGGGAATCAAACTGGCAACCTTTCGGCGTACAGGACAACATCCAACCAGCTGAGCCACCCCGGCCAGGGCTGAAGGGAAGTCTTATGTGTCACAGTCAGGGAATGACACTGGCATGATATATGAATAATGTTAGTACTGAGCCTCATCACAAGAAATTACGCTGAGGTTAGTACTACTTCACGCCGAGTTTTGTATTTCACTTGCCACCCTGCAGCATCTGTGTTTATTTGAATAATAGTTGGACATCTGTGCGTGTGGCATGATATTTACTCAGCCCACATGGAACAGTCAGTAGGCAGGTGGGCTTTGATGACCCGTTGCAGTAATTGATTCGCTCCCCCAGGCATTGGGGGCCCAATCCTTTGGAGCCATGGGCTCAGCAGCATTGTCCTGCAGTAAACCGGCACCTATAGAAAATGACCCTAACCATAGCCAACTTCTTGGGTGGGCGGGAATGAGCCAGTGTAAATACTAAACACACTCTACAGATTTAAAAATACTCTTATTGCCTTTGTTGTTGTTGTTAATCTTCACCTGAGGATATTTTTTCATTGATTTTTAGAGAGAGTGGAAGGGAGGGGGAGAGACAGAGAAAATCGATGTGAGAGAGACAAATCGATTGGTTGCCTCCTGCACATGCCCTGACCCCAGCCGGGGATCGAGCCTGCAACTGAGATATGTGCCCTAGACTGCAATCCAGCTGCATTCTGCAGGCCAGCGCTCTACCCACTGAACCAAACCAGCAAGGGCTATTCCCTTTTTTAATTACAGAAGTGATTCAAATTCATTGTAAAAACCGGCACCGTTACAGAAATATATAACTGAACAGTTTGGTGTTCAGTATTCCAGTTTGTTTCCGTGCATTAAGTAGCATTAATTACTAAGGCTTTTATGGACACAGATGCTACTGTACGCAATGTTCTCTAAGTGTGTGTGTTTTTAATGTAATGGGCAATTTATTTTAAGGAAGCCACAAGGTTCAGTGGTCTGGTTTCCGGGTTTGAGTCCTAGCTCTGTAATAAACTGGTTAGTTGACTAGTAGTAATACAGGGGAGGGCAAAGGTAAGTTTGTAATTATTGTTATGGGAAATAAGACAGTAATTAATAAATACTAATATGAGAATAAACTGTATGCTTCATGTGCTCACAACTGTCAACCTACTTTTCCCCACCCTTATAGCAGTTCCAAGCTGGGAGACCCCAGGTGAACCTCAGATCTCTCTCAGCCTCACTTTTCAGGTCTCTAAAATGGGTATTTGTCCTTTCTCCCGAGGTTGTGGTAAGGACCCCATGAAATAGTATGTAGAAAAGGACTTTGAAAACCATACTGTATCCCATAAATATAAAGGTTTGTTACTATCGACACGTAGGATTTTAGTCCCTTTCCGTTTTTACATGCTTTGATCCACATCCGTGAATACTCGGCCTGGTGATAACTTACTCAGGGGTTGCCTCGGAGGTGAGTGGTAACTCGCTGTTTCCCTTTCCCAGGTTACTCCCGGAAGCAAGGCTGCGATAGCCAATTTGTGTATCGGAGACATAATTACGGCCATCGACGGGGAAAATACCAGCAACATGACGCACTTGGAAGCTCAGAACAAGATCAAGGGCTGTGTCGACAACATGACTCTCACAGTGTCCAGGTAAGGCTCCGGGAAACTCCCATTCCTTTCGGGTCCACTGGAAGCTGCTTGTGGCAAGGACTGCCTCTCCCGTCTCAGAGTCCCTGACACCCCAGCTCAGTGCCGTGTATCCATAGGCAGGTCACAAAGTCTGTGGAATTGCCCTGGCTGGTTTGGCTCAGTGGATAGAGCATCGGCCTGCAGAGTGAAGGGTCCTGTGTTTGATTCCGGTCAAGGGCACGTACCTCGGTTGCAGGCTCCTTCCTGGCCCTGGTTAGGGTTCGTGCAGGAGGCAGCCAATCAATGTGTTTCTCTCACATCGCTATTTCTCTCTTTCCCTTTCTCTTCCACTCTCTCTAAAAATCAATGGAAAAATATCCTGGGGTGAGGATTAAGAAATAATACCGTGTTTCCCCGAAAATAAGACATTCTCCGAAAATAAGACCTAACGCATGGAAAGATAAGACATCCCCTGAAAATAAGACCTAGTGCAACTTTGGGAGAAAAAAATTAATATAAGACACTTGTCTTATTTTCGGGAAAACAGGGTAATAATTACAAAGGTCTGTGGAATTGGAATTTCAGTTGCTTATTTCCCCTCTAATTGTCTTAGTGCTTCTCATATTGTAGGGGTCTTTCTGCATTTTTATTGTTGTTAATCCTCACCTGAGGATATTATTCCATTGATTTTTAGGGAGAATGGAAGAGAGAGGGTAAGACAGATGTGAGAGGAACATATCGATCGGTTGCCTCCTGCACGAGCCCAGACCAGGGCCTGCGCTGGGGAGGAGCACGCAGCCATGGTATGTGCCCTCAACTAGAATCAAAGCTGGGACCCCTTGGTCCGCAGGCCGACGCTCTATCCACTGAGCCACACCAGCTAGGGCTCTGCATTTTCACCTGATCCAGTACCACTTTGAGGAAGTGAGATCGTTAACGACTGCCAAGTATAACGCAACGAAAACTTCCTGGAAGCCACTGAGAATCTGCTCAGGATGCGGCCCCTGCCACACTGCGCCAGCAGTGGGTGCTGCGCCAGGAGGTTACGGTGACGGGGAGAGAGCAGCTCGCCGGGCACAGCGCTGAGGGTGCGCTCAGGGACGCAGCTGGGAAGGAGAGCTGACCGCTCTCAGAGGCTGACGAGTGGGGAGCCTGCCCCGGAGTGGTGACTGGGGTAGAATTCCCGTTCTTTTGTTGAGTCTTGGAAGGAAAGAGCGTGATTTCAGAAGCAATTTGATCCAACCTCAATGGCTCCTTCTTTCCTGTCGGATCTTTGCAGTAGCAAAGAATTTTCAGTAACCACCAGACACACTTGTCCCGATGACAGTGACTGGTGTCCCGCCTTGGTCTGGTGCCCCTGCTCACCTGCTCCACCATTCCACCACGGCCGATGCCCGCCATGTTCTGCACTCTGTCACCTGCTGCCAATGCCCACCATGTTCCTGTGTGCCCCCTGGCAGTCAGCACATGTCATAGCGACCGGTTGTTCGGTAGTTCTGCCGTTTGGTCTATTTGCATATTAGGGTTTTATATAGAGAGATAGTTTCATTGATTTTTGACCCATTTACCACCACATTGAAACAGATTTTACTTCTGTGCTTGAGTAAAATCTTTGTACTGTGCTAGGCACTCTGAGAGTACAAAGGTAAGTAAAATATTCTCTCCCCATAAGAGAGAAAAAAGCCTACACTAATGAAAACTGAGATCAGGCTGAGATTGCAGTTGGTCCAGAGAAACCCTTTGCAGACTCTATAAAGGAGGCATCACTTCTATTGGGTCCTGAAGATAAGCTTCAGGAATAAGTTGGCTATCAGGTTGGATCAAGAACACTGGGTCATGCCGAAACCGGTTTGGCTCAGTGGATAGAGCGTTGGCCTGCGGACTGAAGGGTCCTGGGTTCGATTTCAGCCAAGGGCATGTACCTTGGTTGTGGGCACATCCCCAGTAGGGGGTGTTGTGCAGGAGGCAGCTGATGGATGTTTCTCATTGATGTTTCTAACTCTCTATCCCTCTCTCTTCCTCTCTGTAAAAAAATCAATAAAATACATATTTTTAAAAAGGACAGAGAAATGAGATGCTTGTTCTGTTCTGAGCAGAGGTGGGCAGCAGGAGGCATGCTCAGGAGCAGGGAGGCCGCCTGTGTGGCTGAGGGACCGCGAGACGGAGTGCGGTGAGGGAGGTCGGAGTGCGGTGAGGGGGTCGGAGTGCGGTGAGGGAGGTCGGGGCTCACGAAGTCCCAGCAGCTGGAAAGCCCGTCGGGGCTGAGCATGGGCCGCTATCAGACGAGACGTCACCGGACACGGAGCTTTGGAAAGATCACCCTGGTGGCGAAGTGGAGGGAAGGCGGGTGGCAGGGTGCTGGTTCAGAGCCTGGGCGTCAGGCCTGGGGGGCATCTTCCCAGGCTGCTCTTGGTGGGCGTAACTGACGTAGCACGCACGGAAGAGCACTTTGTCCCTCTCTTGCAGGTCTGAGCATAAAGTCTGGTCTCCTCTCGTGACAGAGGAAGGGAAGCGTCACCCGTACAAGATGAACTTGGCCTCTGAGCCTCAAGTAAGTACTTGTCCGCGCCTGCCGCTCCTCGCAGGGCCCGGCAGGACGACGCCCGTGTTTTCCTGCCTCGGAGGCGGGCGATCGGACGCAGGGAGAGCCCTCCGCTGTCCGTGCCGTGCGGTGCTGGCTCCGGTTCAGGCCTTCCCGTAAGGGAACTGCCGGAGGAAAGGGCTGGAAAGCCCCAAGGCTGTGACACCGGCCGGGCTGGGAGCTGGGGGCTGGAAGGCGTTACGGGAAGCGGGGGGAAGCCTTCCTGTGCAGGATGGGGTGGCGGGGGGACCACGGAAAAGCCGGGAGCTGACTCCACTCATTAAGGGCATCAGAGACAAATGAGTTATGCCGGGAGGGAAGAGCGGTTGAGTCTCAAGGCCTGGGCGCTGGAGGAGCTGAGGGGAAGGTTAGGAGTGAGCTCTGCTTCCTTCTCTCCTGGTCTCCCACTGCCTGGCTCCCGGGATCCTGAGGGCGCAGGCCTCCCTCTTTGTTACAGTGAGACGTCTAAAGAGAGCTTACCAGTATGACAGTGAAGTGGTCCTTCACAGTGGGGTCAGTGCAGGGTGGATTTCCTGGGAAGGCAGACTGTCCCACCCGCCCGGCGTGGCCCCGTGGTTGAGCGTCCACCTAGGAACCAGGAGGTCACGGTTGGATTCCCGGTCAGGGCACATGGCTGGGTTGCAGGCTCGGTTCCCAGTGTGAGGCGTGCAGGAAGCAGCTGATCAGTGATTCTCTTTCATCTTTGATATTTCTCTCTTTCCCTCTCCCTTCCTCCCCCCGCCTCTCTCTCTAAAAAAAAAAGTAGACTGTCCTAGGATCACGTATTTATAAATCTCAGAATTTAGAGTATAGGTGATTTATTACTTTCTTCCTTACTTACATCTTCTGAATAAGCTACAGTGAATGGGCATTCTTTTTTTAAATAAGGGGGAAAATTTTAAAGAAGAAAGTTTAGGTCATAGCCGATGTGGCTCAGTGGATAGAGCGTAAGCCTACGAACTGAAGGGTCCCGGGTTCTATTCCGGTAAGGGCGTGTACCCTGTTTCCCCGAAAATAAGATAGTGTCTTATATTAATTTTTTCTCCCAAAGTTGCGCTAGGTCTTTTATTTTCAGGGGATGTCTTACCTTTCCATGCTCTAGGTCTTTCGGAGGATGTCTTATTTTCGGGGAAACACGGTTACCTTGGTTACGGGCACATCCCTAGTAAGGGGTGTGCAGGAGGCAGCTGATGGATGTTTCTCTCTCATTGATGTTTCTAACTCTCTCCCCCTCTCCCTTCCTCTCTGTAAAAAAATACATTTTTTTTATTAAAAAAAAACACAAAGTTTAGGACAGTGTAAAATTCCATACACTAGACATACTACTTTTCACAAAGTATGTGTCTGTTGGATAAATAATGAATTATTAGTAAGTTCATAAGTAAATTGACAACAGCTTTTAAAAACCTCTTTTAGACTAGTTTGTGATTGTTATCGATTTAATCCCACTTGAAAACCTGAACTTTAAATTTTTTTTTTTCTAAATTTGGGAAGCTAATGTTTATGGTGAATTGAGATATAATAAAAAAAGATAACGTAGCTAGCTAGCTTTCATACATAAAATGGGAACTTGTATGAAACTGAACTCCTGGGTAAGTGGAGGGGTTGCATGTAAACAATATTTTCTCAAATGGCTTCCATTTAAAATGTCAGAAATCTAATCACAAAATTTCCCCCGTTGATTTAATAGAAATCACACTTAAGCGTCCTAAGAGTCACATTAAGGATCACTTTGCAGCTGAGATTTCAAGACGGCCATGAAGGCTGCTCCAGGCAGCTCCTGGTAGGGCAGCTCATCACGTGGGCTCCGTCTGTGAACTGGCAGTTGTGCAAACTAATTGAACACACGCCACAGTTAATGCCAACCTCCCCGGGCGCTCCAGCCGCTTCCTTAAACTCACTGTAAATGCTGTGCCTTCACGTGTTAAACCTCATCCATTTCATAATACAGAAGGAATGATTCGGTTTTAATTTGGTCTGCCTAAAATCCTAGTTTTCACTTACAGTAATACTTAAATTCCAGTTATATTTTGGTATGTATTGTACTTGAATTTTCATTTTACACATAGAATCTGGTGACCTGTTATTCATTTTTAAAATATTTATATATTTATTTGAGAGAGAGAGAGAGAGAGATCAGTTTGGTTTTTAAAAAAATATATATCTTATTGATTTTTTTTACAGAGAGGAAGGGAGAGGGATAGAGAGTTAGAAACATCGATGAGAGAGAAACATCAATCAGCTGCCTCCTGTACACCCCCTATTGGGGATGTGCCTGCAACCAAGGTACATGCCCTTGACCGGAATCGAACCTGGGACTCTTCAGTCTGCAGGCCGAAGCTCTATCCACTGAGCCAAACTAGTTAGGGCGAGCCATTAGTTTGTTGTTCCACCTCTCCAAGCATTCATTGGTTGCCTCTTGTATGTGCCCTGACCGGGGATCGATCCTGCAGCCTTGGGGCAACACTCTAACCGCCTGAGCCACCCAGTCAGGGCTGTGTTCAATACTCTGAAGGGAGTTCTCATCAGATTAAAAAAAAAATTTTTTTTAAATACTTTAACTTCTAACCGGAGTACATTTTTCTTTTTGTTCGTATGAAAAATTTGCCACTTTCCATTTTTTTCATTCTCTACTTCCATTCGTGCTCAAATAGAGGCGTGAGTAGGAGCAGAGTTCACCTACAGTTAAAAGATCTGTTAGTTCATATGAAGCCAGCCAACACCCCAGCTTATCTGAGGTCAGCGCACTCACACACCTACTTTATATTTCCTCATTATTGAGTTTCCTAGGCGACTGGTAAATAACGGCGCCCAAACAATGACCTCATCCCTTCCAAAAGGCAGGCCCTGAATTAACCGCCTGACTTCTGGAGAGACCAGTGTTCACATGGGGTCACGGATACTCCTTTTATGCACAGAACAGACACGTTCTGGGAAGGTTCTCTCTGATGGGAAAAGCAGGGTTTCCAAGCTGCGTTCTCTGCCCACTTCCATTCGAACGGAAGACGCGTGTCTGTGGAGGGGGACGCTGGTGGCGTGTCTCTGTGTGGCGGGCACCGTAGTTGGCACCCCAATATCTCACAGCAAGCCCTCGTGAAAGAGGCTCTATGACTTCGTTTTAGAGATGAGAAATGGGCTGAGAAAGGGGAATAATGTGCCCAACGCTGAACAGGAAGCAGCTGAGCCGGCACAGAACGAGAAAGGTCTTCCCTGGTGCTCCGCATCCCGGGCTGCTCCCCGGAGCTGCTGTGGAGAAGTGGAGAGGAGGGAGGAGCTGCCCTCCTGGCCTCCGCCCTGCTCTCCTTGCAGCGCTGGAGCGCAGCCCCGACGGACGGACGTGGGCCCAGGTCCCGGGCCTCCCGCCTGCTCGGCTGCTCCCTTAATGACTGCATAGTGTTTCTTGGATGAGTGGTGCCGTGCAATTTACTTAGCCATTCTCTGATCAGAGCTAACGTTGTTTTTTTTAGCTAATTATACACGCTTCCCCTTTTGTGAGCCCTCTGAGCTTCGGTCCAATGTAGACAAAGCGAACTCGGCGCCATTCATACGGTTAAAACCTTGCTGATTCTGACCTGCCAGACAGTGCTGTCTTCTGTCTTAAACCAGTGCTACTTTTTGTCATAATGTTTTCTAAGAAAGCGTGAAAAACTTAAAGGTTTAGCAAAAAAAAAAAAATAAATAAATAAATAAAATAAAAGGAAGAGCAAAAAAGGACAGAAACTCTTTGGGGGGAGGGGACGCAGCTGCTGTAGGCCTGGGTGTTCAGAAAGAGGCCAGGGTTCGGGAAGATTCCTGGGGAACCCAGAAGATAGGGCGCAGCTGGCCTGAGTAGGTTGCACAGCCCGTTCTGTTGCTGGGGAGGCAGGGAGACCCAGACCCGGGTAGAAAGCACCTGGCTCACGGAGTCATCAGAAAAGCTGGGATTTTTAAAAAAAAAGATGTGTTTTTTTCTTTTTCTTTTTTCTTTCTTTTTTTAAAATATATCTTATTGGTTTTTTCACAGAAAGGAAGGGAGAGAGATAGAGAGCAAGAAACATCAATCAGCTGCCTCTTGCACACTCCTACTGGGAATGTGCCATAACCGAGATACATGCCCTTGACCGGAATCGAACCTGGGACCCTTCAGTCTGCAGGCCGAAGCTCTTATCCACTGAGCCAAACCGGTTATGGCTAGACATGTTAGTTTTTAAACGTTAGGCTGTTTGTACAGAAGTGCTGAGGTGTTGCAGCTGTAGCAATTACCCATAACTCCTGGCAATTACCCATAACTCCTGGCAAGCCAGCGTCGGGGTGGAGGGCAGGAGGAGGGGAACAGGCCCAGAAGGAACCAAAGTCTGTTCCTGCCGCTCCCCTGGGCTCCGCCCCACAACAGGCAGCCCCTTGCCTTCATCTCAGCGGCCCTGTCCTTCCCCCACGGGAAACCACGGATTCTGGGCGTGTCCCAGCCCTCTTCTGTGGGCGTGCCCCGCCCATCGCTGCCCAGGGTCTCCTCAGCCCTCTTATCTCGCTCACTTGTGGAACCCTCTCTGTCCTGGGAACTTTGTCTCCACCTGCTGTCACCTCTTGCTTTGCGCTGACCCAGAAGTGACTGCCTGTTCATGTCCTCCTGGGACCTTGGTCCCCCTGGAATGTATTGTTTCAGCTCCAGGGGCCCGGGTGTTCTGCCCCGGGCTCCCCAGCAGGGGGTGGGCTTCACCGGCCTCAGGAGAGAACCAGATGGCGGGGCAGGACTGGTGTGTGAACCTGTCCATGTGCCCAGCTTGTGAGAATCCTGGTTGTTGCCCTTTTTAAAAAAATATTTTATTGATTTTTCATAGAGAGGAAGAGAGAGAGATAGAGAGTTAGAAACATTGATGAGAGAGAATGATCCATTAGCTGCCTCCTGCACACCCCCTACTGGGGATGTGCCTGCAACCACAGTACGTGCCCTTGACCGGAATCGAACCCGGAATCTTCCAGTCTGCAGGCTGATGCTCTAGCCACGGAGCCAAACCGGTTTTGGCTGGTTGTTGCCCATTTCTAGCAGGTACATTGGAGCTAAAGTTTGGCGTTGAGCTAGGGCCTTTGGAGGGCATTAGGACACCTGTCTCCCTTCGCCCGGCCTGCACTGTCCATGGAGGAGGGTGAGTAAGATGCCCCTCGCCTTGACTTCTCTGACCTCTGCCGGCAGGAGGTCCTGCACATAGGAAGCGCCCACAACCGGAGCGCCATGCCCTTCACCGCCTCGCCCGCCTCCGGCTCCGCCCCCCGGGTCATCACGAACCAGTACAACAACCCCTCCGGCCTCTACTCCTCCGAGAACATCTCCAGCTTCAACAGCGCCTTGGAGGCCAAGACGGCGGCCAGCGGGCCGGAGACGAACGGCAGAGGGTGAGTGGGCGCCTGATTCTCCGCCGGGCCGGGCCCGGGCCCGGGCTGGCAGGCAGGGGGAGGCAGGGGGCGCCGCTGGGGCCAGGAGAAGAAGGTCTACGTCAGGATGGTTCTTCCTGCCTTCATTCTCCTCCTCTCTGTAAAGGAGGAGATACCACCTGCCTCGTAGGGTTGTTATAAAATGCCTGGTATTGTGTCTGGTTCGGAGGAATCGAACTACTCGCTGAGATCTGCGTTGTGGTCTTGATATCTCTGGCCATGCTCCCCCCCCCTGGTAACGCCGCTGCTTCCTGAGACATTGTTCAGATTTACCGGAGATCCCAGATCTGCCGTGTTCACCGTCCAATCCGAGCAAAGGAAAAGGGCCCATGTTGGTTTGCCTTTTCCCTGAGTGGCCAGTTGACAGGATAGAAAGGAGAGAAGTCTGTGAGGATGGGAATGTGTGAGAACACAAAGATTGGCCTGGGGCAGGGGTGGGCGGCAGGGGTGCAGCCTGGGGCGGTCATAGGAAGTGTCTTGCTCAGGCCTGGGGAGGTGTGTCTCCTCCTGTCACTGACCATTGGGCCACAGCTGCCTCTCTGTTCAGCAGAGCGGGCCCAGGGTCTGCCCCATCCCAGACTCTGAGGATGAATCCAAACACTGGGGACACCGCAGATGGTGGCAAAGAGCTGGGTTTGAGGATGGAGAGTGGGAGATGGGGCCAGTTTGCTGGGGGTGAGAGGGCAGTGGGCCACGTCGCCAGTCGCCATGTCAAATGCCCAAAGGTGGCAGAGGCGGTGCGGGCACGAGGGCAGAGCTGTGGTGCCCGCGGGAGCAGAGCGCCCGAGGCAGCTGGCCCAGGCACGCCCCATCCCGAGGGGAACCGCTCCTTGGCTCCAGCCAGTCCCCACATGCTGGCCTCGGAGCCTCACTTTTGCTGATGGATCGCATTGAAACCCAAGTCTGAATGCCTCTTCTTTATTTGAAACTTCCTGACCGTTAATATTGGTGACAGTAACATTTGTTGGGAAATGTGTGTGGCCCAAACTTATCTGATCTCTGACGATTGAGCGGAATCAGCATTCTGTGTTAGCTCTGAACCCATTTTGTTGTTCAGTATCTTCCCATTTCACTTTTTGAAAAAAATATGTATATATTTTATTGATTTTTTTACAGAGAGGAAGGAAGAGGGATACAGAGTTAGAAACATCGATGAGAGAGAAACATCAGTCAGCTGCCTCCTGCACGCCCCTTACTGGGGATGTGCCCGCAACCAAGGTATGTGCCCTTGACTGGAATCGAACTTGGGACCTTTCAATCTGCAGGCCAACGTTCTATCCACTGAGCCAAACTGATCAGGGCCCCATTTCATCTTTAATAAGAATCTTCCCAGCTCTGAGGGTGATTAAATTGCCAGTCCAGCCAAGACCGGTTTGGCCCAGTGGATAGAGCGTCGGTCTGCAGTCTCAAAGGTCCCAGGTTCGATTCCGGTCAAGGGCTTGTACCTTGGTTGCGAGCACATCCCCGGTAGGGGTTGTGCAGGAGGCAGCTGGTCGATGTTTCTCTCCCATCGATGTTTCTAGCTCTCTATCCCTCTCCCTTCCTCTCTGTAAAAATCAATAAAATATATTTTTTTAAAAAATTGCCAGTCCAGGGCCTCAGATGTCGGGGAGGAGAGGTTAAGGCACAAGAGGTTCCAAGCGACTTCAGTGTTTGGAGAGGGCTGTTATGGGGCCTCTGAGGGCTCCGTGGCCGTGTCGTCTGCGTGGTCCCCCTTCTCGGAAGAAGACCCAGATGCTATTGGGCAGCCACTGAGTGAGGTGTCCTGCCCGGCCCCGGGAGGCACTGCCGTTTCCTTCCCGGTGTCTTGGCGTCCAGCAGGGGGACTTTGCTGGGTGACAACATTACAAGCTGCCCCTGCAGTCACTGCAGAAGCCAAGGCAGAATGGCCACGGATGCTTCTTCCCCAGGTTCTGATTCCTGCCGTGCCTGCTGGCTTGAGATGATGATGTCCTTCGGGGTGGCTGGGGGAGCTTTGGGGGTGATGGAGAGCATGCTGGGCCGCCCCGGCTTGCCACGGGGGGGGGGGGGGGGGGCAGAGTGGTGGGAACTCCCTGGCCTCGGTGCCTGTGCTTGGCGGCCTCGGTGCTGGGGGAGGCTGAGAACGTGACCTTCTGTCACTGTCCCCGCGTGGAATGTTCCCTGCTCCGGAGTCCGTGACCCAGGAAATGACACATCCTCGTTGAAAAAGAGCTGCTGTGCACGGGGAGGACTATGTGCCCGGAGGTGTGTTCAGTGCAGCTCTGGCCGTTATTCCTCCGTTAATGTCTTCTTTCTTCCCCTCCCATGCTCCCCGCCGGCTCCCGCCCGCCATCGGAAACAATTACGTCTGAGGCTGTCTGGACACTGTGCAAGCCTTTCCTCCAGCCCCTGGCCCCCCGCCCCCCGCCCCGGGTCCAAGACTTGCTGGCTGCCGTGGCCTCGGAGTCCTTATCCAAAGTCTCCTTTCAGATTTCCTCAGCCAGGTCTGCTCCATCCCAGGCTCTGAGGATGAATCCAGGAGCCCACGGCTAGAAAGCACTGGACAGGCTGTTGCTAGGGCCGCCCCTGTGGGCCCCCAGCAAAGGAAGGCGCCCCTCGCTTTCTCCCTCTGAGAAGCCCCCCTTTCCTCCCTTTAGTCTGTGAAATCTTGAGGCTCCAGAATTGCTCGCTTCATACTTGGCCTCTGAGGTCATCCCTGACCCCTTGGGGCTGACTCGGGTGTCTTTGTCCAGCGCCCTCAGAGCGGCCTGGTGTGTGTGTGTGGGGGGGGGGGATGGGAGGGGGCTGTCTTGTAGGACTTCCCAGGACCACGTCCCCATCAGACAAGAACACAGACGGCATTGTCATTTCCCAGCTTATTAACTGAGAAGGCGGGCGTGGGGCAGGGGCGTCAGTCCTCCCAGCTCACGGGCAGCTGCGTGGGCGGGCTGCTGGAGCCGTGCCGTTGAACAGTCACGTAGCTGAACAGCCTCCTGTGTCCCTGTGGGCGCAGGACATACTGCTCTGTGCAGCGCTCAGCTCTCACCTGCCGTCTGACCTCCATGCACTGAGTTTAGGGGCTCTCGGGTCCCTTTTTGATGATTCAGGGCCTAGATTTCATTATCTATGTGTGTCTCAAGAATGTCTGTCCCGAGAGATCATTTGGTCTGGCCCTGCCAAGGCATGAGGGGGGGTGAGCATAGTAAATGTTTGACCAAATATAAAAAGCTAGTTTTTTTGTTGGTTTTTTTTGTGTGTTTTTTTTAAGTCTGTATGGCTTGAGAATTATGTTATAAATACTCAAGTGGCTTCTGGCAGAAAAAAGGTTCCCCACCCCCAATCTATGAGACGGTGCTCGATATTCTCCTAAAGGAACAGGCTGTGTAGGTAGCGGGGCCTGGGCTCCAGTTCTAGCTCTGCCTCTGACTTAGCGGGGTTACCGCAGGCAAACCAGAAAGCTTTCCTGAAACTTCGTCCCCTCCCCACGAAGTGTGGGTAACACGCACTGCCCCCCAGCTGCCGAGAGAACAGAATGAGATGCCTGAAGGCGTTCCCGTTGGAGCGTGGCCCCTGGCAGGTGCTCGGTGACTGCTGATCTCAGGGCCGGTGAGGAGCTCCACGCCCTTCCCCAGAGCACGGGGCTTCCCCAGAGGAGCAGACACTTGTGGACGGGCGTCATGGAGAAGTCCCCTTCTGCTGTGGCTTACGAGAAGCCTCTTTCTTACTTTCTGTCTGTCTTGTCTTTCTGTATTTCTTTCCGTCTTTCTTTTTTTAAAAAATATTTTTTATTGATTTTTTACAGAGAGGAAGGGAGAGGGATAGAGAGCTAGAAACATCAATGAGAGAGAGACATCAATCAGCTGCCTCCTGCACACCTCCCACTGGGGATGTGCCTGCAACCAAGGTACATGCCCTTGACCGGAATCGAACCTGGGACCTTTCAGTCCGCAGGCCGACGCTCTATCCACTGAGCCAAACCAGTTCTGGCACGAGAAGCTTCTTTCTTTCCCAGCATCGCAGCTTACGTTCAGCCAACCCCTGCGGCCGGTGACCGTCCTGTGACCTGTGACCGTCCTGGGTACCGGTGGCCCCTTCGTGAAGTCATCGGTTGGGTTCCCATAACCAACACAACAGTCCCAAGATACTAGTTTCAAATGGTTTTCAGGCAGCCCTGCCAGGTACTCGCCGGGCGGGTTTCGAGCAGGTGCAGGGGAATAACGAGATGCATTGTTCTGTCCAGAGGATGGGAGGGATTGCGTGAGGCCTGACTCACTGGGAGCTGGACCAGGAGGGAGCTCCGTCAGGAGATGGCTGGTGGCCCCTCCAGCTACACTGCCCGCAGCCACAGAGACTGGCGAGTCTGGGTGCTCCTCCCCCTTCTCCTGGCTGTAATTACTCCTCTGGTTTCTTATTACAGGCCCAGCATTCAGGCCTTTGAAGACTAAAACTGAGGGAGCATTCTGGCCAGGCTCCCCTTCTAAACATGAATTGCGTTTTTTGTGATCATTGGGTAACCAGGGCATCTCCGACATGAGGATTTATCCGCGTCAGGGTACCTTCTTCACCCGAACCTGCGTGGAAACCAGGCTCTAAACCTTCCAGTGAGCACTCTGGGGGGCAGTTAGTATTATATCTGCACATCATTTGGGGAAAGGATTCTTAAAATGAGTTAAACTTTTTGTTTTGACGTAATTCACTTGGCAGTTACAGGAGATAATCGCGAGGACCCCTGTCTCTTTACCCTGTTTCCCTCCAGGGTAACTTCTTGAAAACTAGAACACAACAAAACTACACTGCAGACATGAATGTGGTCAAGACAGAACATGCCCATCCCCTCAAGGATTCCTCAGGCTGCTCTTCACAGCCGCACCTACTTCCCTCCTATCCCTGCACCCTCCCTACCCCCCTACCCCCACCACTAATCTGCTCTCCATTTCTGTCATTTTGTTAGCTCAAGAGTGTTACACTAGCCGGAACCGGTTTGGCTCAATGGTAGAACGTTGGTCTGTGGACTGAAAGGTCCCGGGTTCGATTCCGGTCAAGGTCATGTACATTGGTTGCGGGCACATCCCCAGTAGGGGGTGTGCAAGAGGCAGCTGGTCGATGTTTCTCTCTCATTGACATCTCTAGCTCTCTTATCTCTCTCCCTTCTTCTCTGTGAAATATCAATAAAATATTTTTTTTAAAAAGTGTTATACTGATGGAATCCTATAGTTTGTAACTTTCAGGGATTGGCTTTTTTTTATTAATCAGCATGATTCACTGGAGGCTTATTTCATTTCTTGAGATTAAAAAAAATTAAATATATATATTATATATATATATATTATATATATATTATTGATTTTAGAGAGAAAGGGAAAGGGAGAGAGAGATATACATACATCAGTGATGAGAGAGAATCACTGATTGGCTGCCTCCTGTACACCCCCTGATGGAGCCCACCACCCACCGAGGCAAGTGCCCTTGACTGGAATCGAATCTGGAACCCCTCAGTCCACAGCCAACGCTTTATCCACCAGGCCAAATCAGCTAGGGCTCTTGAGATTTTTGACATGTATCATTAGTTCTTTTTTTTTTTTTCCCTGTTCTAAGGATTTATCTTTTTATTGTTTAGTTTAAAACACATAGTGTAACATATATCACCTAAACCATTTTAAAAACATGTATTTATTAGAGAGAGGGGGAAGGAAGAGGGAGGTCAACGTTGATCAGCTGCCTCCTGCATGCCCCCTAGAGGGGATTGAGCCTGAAACCACAGGCACATGCCCTGGCCAGGAATTGAACCGTGGACCTCTTGCTTGGTTCATGGGTCAGTGCTCAACCACTGAGCAACACCGGCTGGGCAGGATGGACATTTCATTGGGCGTTTTATTAACAGTAACTTTCCCTTCCCACGAACCTGGATGCCTTTCCATTGACTTGTGTGTCTGCAGTGCCGATCCAGCTCCCAGAGCCAGGCTGTTCTCTGTCCTCCTTGACACTCCGACCTTCACCCCAGCTGCTCCTGTGGCTGGGACAGGCCTGTGTGTGTCATGTAAGGCTGTAGCGAGGCCTCTGAAATCTTCCTTTGGGAGCCAGCTCAAAGGAGTTTCTTCTTACATCCTAAATAGCACTGGCTGTGCAGGCCGCTGGGGAGACAGGCCCCATGGTCAGAGCCCGAGAGAGGAGGAGAAAAGACCACACATGTAGGTAACCAAATGCACCAAACATGACTCGGCACCAAATGTGACTCGGGGAAGAAACGAGGGCGAGGAAACACCTCCGTAATGTGTAGTTACTCCGAAGTTTGTTAAACTCTTGTAAGTTGCTCCTACGATTGGGAAGATCGGGTTTAGAAGTGGTCACTCTTGGCATCTCACCCTTACAAGTTTTCTTTCCTCCTGGTGACTCAGCCATGCATATGATATTTTTTGAAACCTTATCACTATAGAATTCTTTCCTTCAATGCTGTTACTATATATAAAAGTGACGGGGCTTTTTTTTTTTTTTTCTTCTTCCGCATTTCTAATGTGTATTTTTGTCCTAGAATTATTTTTTTAAGAAATGTGGAGTCATTTTTGAATATCTCCCAGTCTGATGTCTAAGACTTAGGCTTTGTGTCTCAGGATGCTCTTTCTGAACGAGCTGTATATCCGCGCTTCCGATAAGGCAGTATATATTGGAAGTGCTTTATAGACTGTCAAGCGGTAGAAAGATATTACCGTTACTTGAGAAAAGCTGTACGTTGTTTTCCCCCTTTTTAATCCTGGGAATGCTTTGCAGGGCCGTTTGCTGGGAGAACATGCGATGACCTTGTGGTTTGGGTTCTGTCGTTTTTAGCGTTCCCTCGGCGGCTTCTGGAATATTCCAGACATAACAACATACACCCAAGGAGGGAGAAAATTCCCCCTAAGCGCATTCCATGGCCTGATCTGGATTTTAAAATAGTTCCAAGTGTAAGAGGAAAAAAGATTCACCAACAATAATAGAATGCATTCATTGTAGGGCAAGCTCAGCCCTTGGGACCCAGAGAAGGAGTGAGGCCTAGGACTGGGCCCTCGGCGCGGAAGAGGTGGGCCAGAGGAAACGTGGCTCCTGGTTAATTAACACTCATTCTTCAGGGAGGCCCTGGGCCAGCCGGAGGCTCCCACAGCTCCCTGCGGGAGGGAGGACAGACAAAGGCGGGAACCGTGGCAGCCAGCAGGAAGGACCCGCTGAGGAGTCTGTCTTGAATTTTGACCTTGCCTGGCATCAGCAAAGCACATGTCATTGCTTGAGGGTTCCATCCTCTATTGTGAGAGCCTGACTGTAGTCAAAGCGGAAACCGGGGGTTCCATTGGTGCAAGTGAATGCTGCTACCTGACGCTGCTTCCAGCCAGACAGGAGTTTAGCCGGTGCCCCAGGAGGCGCACGGATACGGGAGGGAGGGGGTAGAAGGGGAGGTCACCTGGGTGAAGGGCCCAGGAAACACACACCTCCGTTTCCTTTTTATTTTATTTTTAAAATATATTTTATTGACTTTCTACAGAGAGGAAGAGAGAGGGATAGACAGCTAGAAACATCGATGAGAGAGAAACATCGACCAGCTGCCTCCTGCACACCCTCTACTGGGGATGTGCCCGCAACCAAGGTACAGGCCCTTGACCGGAATCGAACCCGGGACCTTTCACTCCGCAGGCTGACGCTCTATCCACTGAGCCAAACCGGTTTTGGCTCCGTTTCCTTTTTAAAATGGGATGTGAACTAACTGCTCCATGGGTAGGAAATGAGTGATAGAACATCATCACGGCAATTCATTTACATGCGTCACCGTGGCCTCAGCCCTCAGGACGAGGTGGTTAGATTCTCGGAGGAACTGCTGGAGCCGCTGCCTGTGCCTGCCGCATCCTTACCCGGAGGCAGCGGTGTCGGGTGGCGTGTCCTGTGGTGGTTACACAGGGCACCTGCTGGTAGATTGCACCACCTGCTGGTGTCTGCTCTTGGCGCTCCGGGCACACTGTCCCTCTGCCCTAGGCGAGGGCAGCTCCTGAGAAAGCATCTGCGGTGCAGAGGCAGGAGGTGATCCGGGCCGGGAGGCTGGGCTGCCCCTTCCCCCGGCCCCGCCCTGGAGGTCCCCTTGTCCTAGAGCCGTGGTGGTCGGCAAACTGCGGCTCTTTGGCCCCTTGAGTGTGGCTCTTCCACAAAATGCCACGGCCTGGGCGAGTCTGCTTTGGAGAAGTGGCGTTGGAAGAAGTTTAAGTTGAAGACATTTGGCTCTCCACGGAAAGTGCCTCCCCGGAAAGCGGGCCCCGCCTGTCTCATCCCGTCCGGGAGCCCAGGAAGCCGGGCGGTGTGGGCGGCAGGGCTGGCCCGCTCAGGGTCTGGGCCTGCGCCGAGGCCTCAGCCCCTCCGTCCGGCAGGACAGAACTTGGCAGTTGACAAAGCACTTGGGTTTTTCATCCTCGGGGCCAGCCCTGTGGGCCGGGCGGGGCAGATGTGTCCTCCTGGGCGGTGGGCGAGGAGACCGGAGCCCCTTGCAGAAGAAGGACGAGGGTTCGGAGAGGCAGTGAGCGGGCTGCTGTCCTCAGGAGCCCGGGCGCTGCGATCCGCTGTGTGAGGGAGCCCGTGGCCCGGGCTCAGGGGACCCCGCTGGGGTTCCGGTGGTCAGGTCGTGGCTGACATTTCCCCGTTTCTAAATTTTCTTTTGGCATAATGCTGTTTATGTAATTTAGAGAGAAGCAAAACATTCTCATTCGTGGGATTAGGCCAACCTGTAATTGAGCGGCTAAAACTCTTTTGAAAAATAGCTGCTGGCAGCATTGCAGCAGCAGCAGCCAGCTCTGGCTCCAGGCCCCTCGCAGTGTGGGCAGGAGCCCGCCTTCCTCAGGATGGGGTGCCCCCACCCTTTGGTTTGGGGGTGTCCTTCCTTGGAAAGGGCTGCCTGGTGAGGTTTTTGTTTTTGGTTTTTTTTTTAACTTCTGACATGTCTTAATGAATTTCCAAACATTCCTTACAGCTTAGAGCATTCTCCGTCTCCAAGCGGACTCGTCATCGACAAGGAATCCGAAGTTTACAAGATGCTTCAGGAGAAACAGGAGTTAAACGAGCCCCCGAAGCAGTCCACGTCGTTCCTGGTGCTGCAGGAGATCCTGGAAGGTAAGCGGCTCTCGGGCGGCCGGAGGCTCCTGCTCAAGGCCCGGGCGAGGGCCGGTCACCAGACACTGTGCACACAGAGGGGACTGCGGGTGCCCCTGCCCCACCGTGGAAAGAGCACTGTGTGCTTTGCAAAGCGTGACTTTTTTTTTTTTTTAATATATTTTATTGATTTTGTACAGAGAGGAAGGGAGAGAGATAGAGAGTTAGAAACATCGATGAGAGAGAGTCATCGATCAGCTGCCTCTTGCACACCCCCTACTGGGGATATGCCCGCAACCAAGGTACATGCCCTTGACCGGAATCGAACCCGGGACCCTTCAGTCCCCAAGCCGACGCTCTATCCATTGAGCCAAACCGGTCCCGGCAAGCGTGACTTTTAAGATCCTAGAAGCTGGGAGAGGGAAAAGGAAGAGAGAGAAAGAGTGAATGAATATGAATGAGCTCCCGCCACACCTGGCCGGCTGTGTCCTGCCCCGGGAGCGTTAGGAGTCAGCATTAGGGGTCTGTCTGCTGCATCGGAAACCCCTGATGAGGGCTACCGTCATTAAGAAGGCTCCGGTTGGCAGAGCAGCACCTCACGGTAGACAAAACTTGCCCCTGGGACCCGCTGGGAGACAGACCTCTGAGCCCTCGTTTCCGCGTGGCGGGAACAGCACGTGGTCAGGGGCCGATGCCGTCACTGAGGTCCCCCTGGGCTGCAGCGGGATTCGGTGATCACGCCAAAGGCTTGAAACGGGGTGTCTCTATGTGAAGTGTACGGTTCAGAGGCATTCACTACATTTCACACTGTGCTGCAGGCACCCCCAGGCATCCCAGATTTTTTTACAGAGAGGAACAGGGTTAGAAACATCGATGAGAGAGAAACACCAATCGGCTGCCTCCTGCACACACCCCACTAGGGATGTGCCCGCAACCAAGGTACATGCCCTTGACTGGAATCGAACCCGGGACCCTTGAGTCCGCAGGCCGACGCTCTATCCTCTGAGCCAAACTGGTTTTAGCTTTCTAAGGCATTTTAAAGTACCCATACCACTGTTTGCATGTATTTAATCAGAATGTAGCGTGTGTTGTGAGGGCTGACCACGTGCCAGGTACTGTGGGAGGGCTTTCTGTGCATGTTTAAAGCCTTTTTGTGACCCTGTGAAGGAAAACAACAAAGGGAATCTGTTTCATAGAAAAGGAAACTGGGAAGCTGAGAAAATAAGTGCCCGCCCCACCCGGGATCACAGTCCGGTCTGCTTGTCTCCATTGCCCGTGACCGTGCGGGGACACACGGATACAAGGCTCTGAAAGAACGAAGGGGTCATTGCGCGATCCTGCCCCTTCCCGGCCAACCCACGTGTGTTCCTCCTTGTAGGGGACCCCAACAAGCCCTCGGGGTTCAGAAGCGTGAAAGCGCCGGTCACCAAAGTGGCTGCCTCGATCGGCAACGCCCAGAAGTTGCCCGTGTGTGACAAGTGCGGCACCGGCATCGTGTGAGTATCTGCCCTCCCCGGGGGGCACGGGGGCCCCACACGTCAATGAGCCGGGACAGCGTGGACGGTGCTGGCCGTTGCACGTGTTGGGTGCGATGGGAGGAAGAGAAACCCTCCCTGGATGCGGAGCGGAGGGGCAGGGAGGTTCTGTGGCCCTGGGCCAGGTGCCCACGGTCTTCCTCGGGGAACCCTTAGGGTCTGAACCGATAAAACCAGGAGAAGCCCTCGCTGGTGTGGCTCCGTGGCTCGCGCGTCGGCCTGCAGACTGAAGGGTCCCGGGTTCGATTCCGGCCAAGGGCACATGTCTGAGTTGCAGGCTTGATTCCCAGGAAGGGGCGTGCAGGAGGCAGCAGCTGATCCATGATCTTCTCCCGTCATCGATGTTTCTATCTCCCTCTCCCTTTCTCTCTAAAATCAATAAAAAAAAGATGTTTAAAAGCCAAACAAAACCAAGAAACAGAACTGGTGCCATGCTGTTGACATGGGAGAGACTTCTGGAAGGTGTCAGGAGTAACGTCTCTGGACCCCAGGAAGGGGGAGGCCCGACGGGCCTCTTGGGGGCGCCCCCAGCCCCGGGGCCGCCTCTCTGTGCCTGTCCCTAACGGGGCCGCTTCCTCCCTGTCCCCCTCCCGCAGCGGCGTGTTCGTGAAGCTGCGGGACCGCCACCGCCACCCCGAGTGCTACGTCTGCACCGACTGCGGCACGAACCTGAAGCAGAAGGGCCACTTCTTCGTGGAGGACCAGATCTACTGTGAAAAGCACGCCCGGGAGCGGGTCACCCCCCCGGAGGGCTACGACGTGGTCACCGTGTTCCCCGCCAAGTGAGCCGGCAGACCCGCACCCAACGCCGCCCGCCCTCCCGCCCGCCCTCCTGCCGGCCCCGCCCCGCCCGCGCCCGCCCTTCCTCTCGGAGGTCCCTGCCCCTGTCCCCGCGCTCCGCGTCCCTGCCCGTGCCCAGGGCTCCCCCCGCCGCGGACGCTGCCTTTCTCGTACGGGGAAGAGCCTTTGGTGCAGGGCCCCCTCTCTCCACCTCCGTCCGCCTCCGCGGCACACGGACGGCGGCCCGGTCGGAAGCAAGCCGGACTGACTGTGTCTGCCCCTGGCTTTGTTTTTACTCAATAAACGTATGGACGCTAAGGCCGTAGGGTGTTCTTTATCGCGTGATCAGGCCATGACGGGGAGCACGCTTCCTCCGTTCCTCGGTTTCGTTGACATCGGTAGTCTTTGGAGGTTAAGCCCCAGCCTCCCTCCTGTAGACGGGCTCTCCCAGGATGCCGCTCTGCGGGGCCCCGTAGTCGGGGCAGGTCTCTCTGGCTCTAACCACTCGTCTCCTGAAAGGCGTGACGCCCCCACAGAGCTGACCCTCGGACTCTCTCAGCTTTGGCGTTCAGCGCTGAGCGGGGAGATAGTCCGCACATGTTCGGTGAATTGCCCACGAAGGGATGCTCCATCGCTGCTCAGTAGAAATGGGATGCAAGCCACGGACGTAATTTAAAACTTTCTAGTAGTCACATTGGGGGGAAAAGCAGGTAAGTTCGTTTTGGTGATATGGCTTTTAGTGCTGTGTATCCAAAGTATTATCGTTTCAGCACGTGCCTCTCTCTTCTGTCCTGGACAACACCGCCTTAACCTCAAGCAAAGACTTCTTGGATTTCTGCTCCCGCTCCAGGTACCGCGTCCTTCTTCCTTGTTCCCACACGTCCACCACGTCTCTCCCAGCTGCCTCGCCCTCCGGCCTCCGGCGCTGCCCTCCACGGCGGTTTGGACTGCGGTTTGGAAGGCTCCTGCTGACTCCTGCTGATTTCTCCGGCCAAACCCAAGGACCTCCGCTCGGTCCCTCTGCATCGCACACACTCAGAGGCATTAACATGGCTGCCCACCAGGGCCTGGCTTTGCCTGGTGCTGAACTTCCTCGGGCACTTCCTGCTTCTCCTGGCTGCTGGGTCTCTAGCTGTCTCCCTGCCGAAGCCAGGGAAGCCTCTCCCCAGGTGATGCCTCCCTTTGACAGCGTGTAAAGCAGCATGACCGAAGTTTCAGGAAATCAAAGCAACGGGCCTTTTAAAGGATCTTCTTCTCCACTTTTATTCTCTGTTGCCCCCGAGGCTGAGCATTATTAAGTTTGACCTGCACGGTGCTGTTCTTCGCTGCTGGGCTTTTCCCCAGACGTCTGAGCTGTGCTGAGTTCCCCCACGGTGACGGGGCTGAGGAACGTGGGAACAGTGGGGTGATGGTCTAAAGGGGGAGAGCAAAGTATTAGGGAGGGAGGGCATCCGGTCACTGCTTTCTAATCTCACTGGAAGTGTTTAGGACTGGCTTTCATGAATAACCACATTGGCGAGAAAGCAGTATATTTTTTAGACCCAATTTTTTAAAAATATATATTTTATTGATTTTCCACAGAGAAAGGGAGAGGGATAGAGAGTTAGAAACATCAATGAGAGAATCATCGATCAGCTGCCTCTTGCACACCCCCTACTGGGGATATGCCTGCAACCAAGGTACATGCCCTTGACCAGAATCGAACCTGGGACCCTTTAGTCCGCAGACTGATGCTCTCTCCACTGAGCTAAACCGGTTTCGGCTAGACTCAATTTTTAAAGGCTATTTGCAAAAATTACATTCTCTTCCCTTGTGGACACATAGGTCTAATGCTGAGTCTGAACATCTAATTTGGGAGGATAAATGAGAGTCCTGATAATCTTTAGGAACAACGATTAGGATCTATTTCCTATTTTCCCCATTGCCCTTGGCCTTCCTTCACCCCACCTGCACCCAGAATCACCACGGGGAGGAGCTGTGTGGCTCAATCCAAATCAAGCTCCTTCCTCCCACTACAGGCTGTGCTCACTGTCACACACCGCCTGACCTTCACCCCAGGCCTGGACAGGAGCCTCCGATGGCACCTAAGGCAGGTCACCCTTAGGCTCCAGGATTTCCTGCAAAAGCAGGAATGAAGTGAACTACAGCATCTTGTAAACCTCCTATTCTTTGCGTAGGCCCGTGGTTGGCAAACTGCGGCTCGCGATCCACATGTGGCTCTTTGACCCCTTGAGTGTGGCTCTTCCACAAAATACCACGGCCTGGGCGAGTCTATTTTGAAGAAGTGGTGTTAGAAGTTTAAGTTTAAAAAATTTGCTCTCAAGAAATTTCATTCGTCGTACTGTTGATATTTGGCTCTGTTGGCTAATGAGTTTGCCAACCCCTGGCCTAGGCCACGGCTGCTGGAGGCTGAGAAGGCTTTAAGCTATAAGGAATGTGTGAGCCCGAGCCACTGTGGCTTAGTGGGTAGGACGTCGGCCCTTGGACTGAAGGGTTGTGGGTTCGATTCTGGTCAAGGGCTCAATTCCTGGCTCTGGTCAATGTGCATGTGGAGGTAACCCAATAATGTGTCTCACATCGAAGTTTCTCTGTCTCTGTCTTTTCCTTCCTTCTGCTCTCTCTAAAAAAACAATGGAAAAATATCCTCGGGTGAGGATTAACAACAAAAAACAAAACAATAGCACACTGGCTTTGGAGTCAGACTGAACCCACTTGCTGTATTCCTCAGGTCGAATTCCTCTGAGTCTCAGATTCCTACCTGCAAAAGGAGATGAGAGTACCTACCTCGCAGGATTACAGAAGGACTTTGCCAAGCCCTCTGGAAGCTTGCTGCTTACATTTTATTACATGTTACCGTGCATAGGACTCCACTGCAGACTCTGGGAGATGCAGATTCGGACTCAGCATCAGGCCTATGTGAGGCTGAGGCTCTGCGTTTCCATCAAAAGCTCCCAAGTGAAGCTGGGCTGTGGTCTGTGCATCACACGCTGGAGGCATGTTTTCTAGAATACCAACGTGGCCACAACTCAGGGGCAATTAGGCTACAATCTTGCAATTCAGCTGACCAGGAGGGACTACATACCACAATCTATTTTTTAATTCAAGTATAATTATGTACAATAAAATTCAGAAGCCTTTCTTTTTTTTAGTTTTGATTATTGTGTATACCTCAATCAAGATATAGAATGTTTTCGCCCTGGCCAGTGTGGCTCATTTGGTTGGGTCTTGTCCTCTTGCACCAAACCGGTTCCATTCTTGGTCCGGTTTGGGGCTTGATCCCCTGGAGGGGGCGGCGTGCAGGAGGCAGTCGGTCGATATTTTCCTCTCACACCGATGCTTCTCTCCTCTCTAAAAAAATCAATTTTTTAATCTTAAAAAGATACAGAACATTTCCATCATCCCATAGTACCCTTTGCTTATGTCCCTTCCCAGCCAATATCCTTCCACCCCTGACCCCACTCCAGGGTACGCCTCCCACAGTAAACCAGGGTCTCCCAGCTGGCCCTTCCCCTCCGGCCTTCATCCGGGTTGCAGCCATGGGAGGTGCTGGTGTACTGGAGGCACTGGAGGAACTGGGAAGCTCTGTGGTGGGCCTTGCAGGTTGCCTTCCAAACATCACTTCTTCAGACTCGAGTATCACACCCTCCTTGTAAAAGTTTAAACAATGTCGTGAAGGTTTTTAATGTGATTTCACAGCCAGTTACAGGGCACTGTTTTCTTACAGAATAATTGTGGGTTAGCTGAGAGCATTTTATGTGGAAATTATTGAGAAGACAGCACTTTGTCCCTTTGGAGCATCAAACAAGCGAATACACAAGATGCACTGGCCCCTGGTAAGGCTGTGTTTGTATGAGCAGACATGCACTAGCTTGTGTCTCCCTGGGCCCAGGCCTGTGATGATTTTGTACCATCAGACCGATTATAGCACCTTTTAATGGGTTTAGTTGTCTTGGTACCTGTTAGAGCAAATCTTAAGTGTGGTTTCTCTCTCTCTCTCTCCTCGCTTAAACATATTTTATTGGTTTTTTACAGAGAGGAAGGAGGAGGGATACAGAGCCAGAAACAACGATGAGAGAGAAACATGCATTGGCCGCCCTCCCATGGCTGCACCCTCTCCCGCCGGGCCAAAGCTGGTGTAATCTGCAGGGGGTTCAAGGTAGCTGTGCTGGCTGTGTTGGTTTAGTCGGTGGTGAAATCTACCGGGTTTGTCTGCCAAGCAGGTCGCTGTGAACTGCAGTCACAGCCCCTGCTTTCCTTCCTTGTTCCCGGCCATCTCTGGGCGTCGCAGCCTGGCTGGGCTGGCTGGGCTGACCCTGAAGCAGGACCTGAAAGGGTGGAGAAGCCAGCGGGTCTTCCTGTCCTGCTGAGGGGAACTCTGTCTCGCCGGGGGTGCCCGCTTGTGCTGAACACGGCTGGCCTGGGGGATAGGAAGGTTTTTATTAATAACAGGCACTTCTAGGTCCTCTACCTGCCCACATGCCTGCAAAGTAGATCCTACACTCAAATAGTCCCTTTTTGTTGTTAAGGATTTTGATGGTCACCAAGAAAAGAGACTATGTGTCTTGGATTAACAGGCCAGTTTCCTTTTGAGCTCTAATTGAGGGTTTCAGGTAAAAACAACAACAATAATAATAATAAATGCTGCTCCCTAACCTCCAATGTTCCTATCGTCTGGGGTAAGATGGGTTATCACAAACTCTCACAATCCTGAAGCTAGCTCATGTTTATGTAGAGGAGAGTTGAATTTTAAAAGTGTTTTCTACACCGGATGTTATGTTTAAAATTTCTTTAGATATAGGTGATTGGAACAAATCTTATATTTAAGGAAACAGACCCTTCAACTAGCAGCTGTAGTTGTGTGTTGGTTGTTGTTTTGGGTTTTAAAAATATATATTTTATTGATTTTTCACCCAGAGGAAGAGAGAGGGATAGAGAGTTAGAAACATCGATGAGAGAGAATCATCGATCAACTAGCTGCCTCTTGCACAATCCTTTCTGGGGATGTG